ACTTCTGGTGCATCACTACATATGATTCAATTGCTCTTATAGTTGTGGAATACAACCCAGAAAAAAAAAAGCATGGAGTTTTTCTAATACATGCTTCTAGCATGAAACAATATATGTAATGCAGAAGTAGTCAACACTACCTTCATTTATAGTTTCAATATGATATCCATTATGACGTATATCTTTAAAACTCAACAGATTTCTTTTGGATCTAGTTAAGTACAAAACATCATCAAATATTAGCTCTTTCAGAGCTTTCAATCAAGTCTGCAGGATCTGATATTATATTAACACTAGCTTCAACTAATGTTATATGAGAGAAATATTTTCCATCTTGAAGGATAGTGTGCGTTGTTCCACTGTCTGCTAAATATATATCCTCACCATATTTCTTGGATTTAGTTACCAGATCCATGCCTCTTCATATATGTAAATTTATAATTGATTACTTTAAAAATATATATATGAAAAATAGATAAAATATATGTATATTGAGACATGAATAAAATCACACTGAAACAGATACGACAAAACATACTTAGAAAGTTATAATACAACAAGTATTTTACAACAATACAACTACAATACGGTCAGTTGCAAATATCATACAGGAAAGCAGGAGAACAAAGCTACAATATGGCTACTTGCAAATATCATACAGAAAACACAAGAACACATTAATTGGTATAGACATCACCAATAAGATGGTTAATTTTTCCAATGGGATCTTCAAAGAAATCCGAGACATCCAAGTGAGTGATGTTTATCGGCTCATCATCACTAATAAAATTCATTTCAAAATTTCCCCTTTTTTCATTTAATGATGCTTGGTAAAAATCGGCCAGATGTCTAAGTGTACAACAGGTACGCGACTTATACCCTTTCATGCCACACCGATAACAAGGCTTCTTTGCATAATTCTGAGGGGGTTTATTCTGCAAACCCTTTTCTTTTGCCTATTTAGTCACATTTGTATTCCACTTCTGGTAGAACGGCTTCCACTTTTAGTGGAATGGTGTGGGGGTTCTGGGAAACTGTAAGGGATTCTAACCACCACGGTTATGGTAATTATTTCTACCATAACCATACCAATGACCATTGCCAAGACCACGACCACAACCACGCTTGTTTACGCCCGTAAGATGAGGATGCATTCGCTTTTGGGAATGATGTTTCACCGGTCGAATGGGACTGGTGATTTTTCAACAAAAGCTCATTATTTTATTCAGCTACTAGTAACCAAGAAATTAGCTCAGAATATTTGGTAAATTGACGTTCTCGATACTGTTGCTACAGGAGCACATTCGAGGCATGAAATGTGGAGAAATTTTTTTCTAACATGTCCTCATCAGTGATTTTTTCTCCACAAAATTAATTGCAAGCTGATTTTGAAAAGAGCTTAATTATACTCACTTATGGTTTTATAATCCTCCAATCGCAGATGCATCAAGTCAAATCTAGCTTTTGGAAGAAATACAGTTTTCTGATGCTCATATTTTTCTTTTTAAATTATTCCATAAGATGAGTGGGTCTTTAACCGTTAACTATTGTTTTTAATTCATTATGTAAATGATGGTGAAAAAAAATCATTGCTTTTGCACGGTCCCGCATGGATGCTTCATTATCTGTTTTAATTGTATGCCCAAGATCCATGGCATCGAGATAAATCTTGGCATCGAGAATTCATGATAGGTAGTTTTTGCCCAAAATATCAAGGGCAACAAATTCAAGTTTGGTAAGATTCGACATTATCAGGGAACTATAAATGATAAAATAACACAGTTAAAATTATTTTATCATAATCGAACTGAGTTATGCATCATAATAAAAAGAGTAATTAATTTGAGATTATTGAAGTATCACAATCATTATAATATGATTTGCATAGTGATTATATCATATATATAAATAACAATAATAGTCAATTTATATTTACAACAGAACAAGTGGCTTGGTGGCTCGTTAACTCAACTTGCGCATTAAAGGGCCACGGTTTGAATCTTGTGGTAAAAAAATTTTAATTTCTTTTTGCACATTTTTATATATCATGTCATTTACGTACACAAGACCAAATGTGAACATGTTTAAATTATAGAAATAATTATGTGGGTCATGCCATTGACCTTTGGAAATGGAGAAAACAAAATTTCCACCACATACCACATAAATATGTATGTATATATAAATATAATATCAAGTAAGTTTTATTGTCAACTATAACATAAAAGCTCATAAGCTAAAACAATAAACTTGTTCATAATAAATGTGTGTGTGTGTGTATAATAGAATCAAAGGCTCATAATTTATCTTCCTATAATTTTGTGGAACTTCAAGTTCGCAAGGGGTACTTAGTGTAAAGGACTTCAAGTCAACAAGTTTTGTGAAATTTCAGGTTCGCTTGGACTTTAGGCCAACAAATTTTTTGAAACTTCGAGTTTGCAAAAAGTACCAAGTATTCGTGAAACTTCAAGCTCACAAATAGTATATTAATATATGCAAAACTTCGAGTTTGCAAAAATCATTAAATATAAATAATTTAGTATTTGTGAGACTTCAGGTTCAGCAATTTATTTTTCTGTAAAGAATGAACTAAAATATTATAATATAAATAAATATGTATTTGTGAGACTTCAGGCTCAACAATTTTAATTATCTATAAAGTATGAACAAGAATAGTTTAATATAAATAATTGTTTTTCTTACCCTTTGTAGTGAGAAAGAAAAATAAAATTTTCTTCTCAGTTGGCAGAGTCTTGTGCTGATAACGTTTTATAAATATAGAGTAAGAAATATAAAATACAAGAGATGAGAAGGAACCAGAAGAGAAAGGAGCTTTCTATTATTTCTTCTTGTTCGGTATGTCTAGCTAACTCAAAACATCACACACATATTTATTCACAAAATTTTTACTCAAACTTTCCTGTGCCTTTCCCCTTATCTCTTTTTTACCAATCACGCCTCCAATTATAGCTTTTCACACAGAGCCACATAACTCATATAATTGGTGCAAAGCATTTAATATGTGGACGCCACATCAACTTTTAAACATATATATTACTATAATATGTTGAAACAGGTGACCCAAAACCAATGTCGAAACACAGATTCCAACTTCATAACTCAAACAAAATACATACTTTGAGGTGTGTTATTTAATTTTCTTAAAGTGTTATTTGCCCCCACTTCAATTGAGTTTGTTATCGGGTTCTATAGCAAAATACTTTTAGAATACAACAAAGCCTAAATTTATGCAGTTAGCAATAGTGAAGGAATTTCCTAAGGGTCTGTTTGGTACGCGTTATATTTTTTGCTTTTTGTTTTAACTCGAAACTAAACAAATGTTTTGATATGGAGTATTCTGACTTTAAAATGGAAACATGTTTGGCTATGCAAATTTGCAATGGGAATTTCAGAATAAAATATATATAACATGCGTCTTTTATTTTCAAAATTTTTGAAGCAAAACATGTTTGGCAGAGTCTTACTGTTGTCAAAATTCCTAAAACAAAAACAAGAAACATGTTTAATAAAGAATGTTATTTGTTTGTTTTTGAAACTTTAAAATATATTAATACATTATTATTTATATATAATAGTACAATTTTATATAACTTGTGGCCATTATTAAAAAAAAGTGATCATAATTTGAATATTATATAAATAATATTAGAATTCGGGTTCGGGTTTCTAGCATCTCAACTCAAGTCCAAACATAATTAAGTTCAAATTAAAAAATTTCAATTCGAACTCAACCCTAATTCTAAAAGTAATTATCCAAGCCCATGAAAATTGTGCTGTGCTCCGGTTGCCCACCCTAAGTTACACCCTAATTTTTATTTATTTTTATTTATTTATTTTTTTGTAGTCCTACTCAAAGTAGCTCTACTTTCTCTTGTTGCCATTTTAATCTCCGAAATTCAAATGACACATACATGGTGTCATCATCTTGTTGTCGTTTAAATCTCCTCCTAGGGTTTCAAACACGCCGTCTCTGTCTCTCTTTGGTAGCTCTCAGCCTCTCACTGCTCAATCCTCCACCGCTCTCTCTTTCTCTCTTTGTCTAATCCAATCCATATTATTTAATACTTAATGTATTACATATTATGATATGAAAATGTCATTTTTTATTTTTCGCCTAAGGCCCCGAGTTATATCGAGCCGCCCCTGCAAAAACTATAATGGGATTTATCAAGGATCTCATATCCTGTTGGACAGTAGGGTAATGAAGTATTGGAATATCCATCTGCCTTTCTTTTTTGTTGTCCAGGAGGTCTCTAGTTATTATTTGTTTCTTTCTTCAATCAATTATAAAAAATCACAACAAATTTTGAGATGCCAAATTGATAACCCTTTGCAAGAATCCTAATTTCATAAGTTATAACATACTTCTAAAGCCTATAGAGTCAGAAACCAGAAACTTGTGAACAAAAATGATTACATATTTATATTTATATATGTGTGTGTAAAGAGAGAGATGGAGGGGGACCTAGAAGACCTGCGAGGTGGGTGGTGTCCTGGACGTTGGTGGCTGATTAATGAGGAAGATAAGTGATAGAGAATTATTATTCGCTAGTCAAACTAATTTTTAATTTCATATTTTATTGTATTAAAATTATATAATTTTAAAGAGGATATTTTGATATTTTGAAATAAGAGTGTGAAAATATTTTAGACCAGTAATAAATATGAATGTATTTATAATTATTTCCCTTCATTCAATCAAACTCAAAGTCACATAGAGTAACAGCTAATTTGCGTGAGAATGACATAATTAAGTCATAAGTAGTGAAAATTTAAGCGAGAACGTACGCGGAACAGAAATGCACTTAACATGTGGAGTAACACCCATTAAAAAGAATTGTATGACTTGGATCAAATAGAAAATTAACTTTGAATCTATTATTTAGGACTCTAACTTTCCCTAAATTTTATTTTTTATTTTTTATAGTCCTGCTCAAAGTAGTTTTACTTGTTCTTGTTGCCATTTTAATCTCCCAAATTCAAATGACACATACACGACGTCATCATCATGTTGCTGTTTTAATCTCCTCCTAGGGTTTCAAATGCCGTCTGTGTCTCTCTTTGGTAGCTCTTAGCCTCTCACACTGCTCAATCCTCCGCCGCTCTTTCTTCCTCTCTCTCATCCAATCCAATGGTATGCGTTTCCGCCCCCTCTCTTGTCTTGTTGGTTTCTCTCTCTAAAACAGCCACACACACTCTCTCATCATCTTCTATATGAATGTTTCATCTGTTTTTCGCAGGCTCCAAAGAAGGAGAAGGCTCCTCCTCCGTCTTCCAAGCCAGCCAAATCTGGCGGTGGAAAGCAAAAGAAGAAGGTCAAAGTTTTCTTTCATATATATATATATACACACACACACACACACGTGTGTATGAATTTATGTGTGTATATATATGTATTATGAATGAATTGTGATTGATGTTGTTGTGTGATAATAATTTTGTGGGATATACAGAAGTGGAGCAAGGGAAAGCAGAAGGAGAAGGTGAACAACATGGTGTTGTTTGACAAGGCTACCTACGACAAGCTCCTCTCTGAAGCTCCCAAGTACAAGCTCATCACTCCCTCCATTCTCTCCGATCGCCTGCGGGTATCAATTCTTCTTACCCATTATTTTCCTCTAATTTGGATGTGAAGCTATGGACCGTGTGTTTGTTATGAATCGTTGTTTGAGTTTGACAAATTTGAAAATTTGTCTTTTGGGGAAAATTAATCTTTGATGTTATTTTGTTTAGAAGTTGATTTGTGTAATTGGGATTATAATCATGATGGGCTGATGTGTTTTTTTGTTAGTTTGCTAACCTATTCATTAGGTGATCTGATTTTCTGCTGTTTTTTATCAACCTTAATTACCACATATTTCTGTTTTTTTGCTAATTTTTATTAACTACCAAATATCTCTCATTATTATTTTTGTTTATGTTGATTTTTATTATTGTTAAGTTCCAAAAATCTCTGTTTCTGCTGGTTTAGCCTGATATCTCTTGAGGTTTGGTTAAATAACTCATAAATGAAACTGTAAAAAAATTTGTGGTTAAACTCCCTTGAGGTTTGACCAAAATACAAATAGCCCCACATCACTAACAAAATATGAACTCCATTAAATGAAGTCTGCTTAAAAGCCATAACTGCCCTTTTTATTCATAATTTATATTTGCACTACCAATTATATGCTTATAGGTATACTACATATATATCACAAATCAACAAAGCCCCCTTCCCCCACCTCACAGCCACAAGGCTCTTCTCACCTTTCTATTCCAACCAATGCCACCGCCACCTATTCCTCTATCTGTCTAACTCTTCGGCTCTCTTTCCTTAAAATCTTACCTATTTTTGCCTCTCTCTAAAAGTTCTTCGCAAAGTACAACGGTCAATTATTATTAGAGCAAAGATGGTGGATTGTTATTTGGGTTTCCTTGTGTATGCTTTGTCCTTTGTTTTGTTTTGTGGATCTTTATATGTTTAGAGGCTGGCGCGTTTGTGTTATGCTTAGAGAGAGAAAATTAGGACTACTTTTATGTTTTAAAACAAGATGCATGAATTAATTTGTTAGTTTTATTCTTTGAAATGGAAGCATATAACATATCTCATCAAACCTCTCAAACTGGCCACACAAATGGTTTGGACGAATTTAGAACTGGTTACAAACTCAGTTCTGTTTCTTACTTTATCAGTTTGAGTCTGCCTCAGTCTAGAGGCAAACGCATGTGCAAAGAAGACCCAAGAGAATTTATATCTAGTCGAAAAAGAAGAGTTGGTGTACAAGTTTATATGTTTACATAGAAATTTAAGGCTAGGGATCCGTGTCTTCTTAGAGAGGAAATAGAAGATGATACAAATTCATTTGCAATAAAATGGGAGTCAAAGTGAATACAGATTCTATAATATTTTAAAATTATTTCCTTACTATCTAAAGTTGTTATGTAAACGTGCACACACATATATCCCAATATATAAAGTTACTGTTTTTTCCTTGAATTCTTTACTGCCTTGTGGCAACATTCTAAAGCCTTTGTGTACTATGTGTAACATTCATGTTATCATAATGATATGTTTTACGCATATTGTATTTTGTCCAATCATATGTATATTTTGTGTTTCATGTAATACCAAGTAAGCCTTCTAAGAGAGTTAATCCATGTATGCCTTATGCATATAAATATATATTTAAGAATTAACCTATGAGCCTTTTCTTCTAAAAAACAATTTAAATTAAGGAATTGAAACATCAACACTGTGTTTATATATAGATATATATGATACTATTTGTAGTTCAGTAGATAGAAAACCTTCAAAGCCTTGGAAACCTACGTACTCTTAATTTATTTGATCTAGTTTTTTTTTCAGAACAATAATTGTGTATGATAGCAATTTTAGCCAAATTAAGTGACTATTACTGAAAGACCAGTGCTAGCGGCAGTCGCGTCAATCCACAATCGCGCTTGTAGCCAATCAGAAGTCCCACTTTATTTTTATTTTCATTTTTATTTATTTTTATGTTTGTTTTGGTTTATGTTACAGTATTATATATACCATTTATTTAAAATAAATTTACAGTAAATGATGTTGCCAAAGGGAACGCACATGGCCCAATGTCACAATGGCATTGACTCTAATTTGATACAAAAGTAATGGCTATATTTAAAAATAGGGTAATAATGTTCTTGACATGTTGTAATACATGACCATTACTTTTGTGTAATATTACATTCAGTGCCATTGTGAAATTGGGCATATGCGTTCACTTTGGCAAAGGCATTGACTGTAAATTTCTTATAAATAAAGGGTATATATAGTAATTTAATAGAAACCAAAAAAAGAAAAAGAAAGTGGAACCTAGCCAATGACACCTACATAGGTCACACCCTGTGACCGGGCTAGAGAGCGACCTCTTATTGAAATATAATGTGCACACATATTATACATTCCTGAAAAGGAAGGCATACATGAAAGATACAAAATGCTGTGAATGAAGGAAAATATACATGATTGGATAAAATGCAATATTCGTGAAGCATATCATTATGATAACATGAATGTTACACAGTACAAAAGTTTATTATGTGTGTAAAATAGCAGCTTTAGATTGTAAAGAAATAGTTTTAAAATATTTGAAAATTTGTGTTTACTTTTAAAACTTTTAAGTTAGGAATGCTAAAAAATTTATCAAATTAACAACTAGAAGATAACTTGATTGTAGAAACATATATTGTAAAAAAAAAAGATGTGGCCTAGGATATGAAGAGGCATGCAAATGCACTGTCCTAAAGTTGCTATTTCCTCCCTACATGTTACGTGCAAGTGGTGATGGATATAGCAACTCCAACATACAATCCACATAGCCATGGCTCCTCTATGAGCATGTTCACAGTAAGTATAGTATCAAGTCTCGATCAATTGTCCAAAATAGTTAAACTACGATGAGAATTACAGAGAAGTTTATTCTGGATAAAAGATTGCAGAGAATTGATGTGGAAGAAGAAAGAGTATTTAGATGCTATTTTTTTGTTCTACTATACTATGGATGGTTGGATTATAATATTTATAGACTTCTGTAGACACTAAAATTTTAATGAACTTTTGTTTTGATAAATTGACCCATTAAATATGGGTCTAATGTTTAATTAAGGGTGTGTTAGTAACCCAAAACATTTTTTGTTTTCTGTTGTCAATCCTTAAAAAGGAGAAACAAACACAAAAATCATGTTTAGTAATTTGTTTTTGTTTCCTCTTATTTTATGAAAGAAAGAGAAAATATCAAAATGATGTTTCCTGTGTTTTTTCACTGTAGCAGAGGAAACGTTTTCACTACTGTTTCCCTCGTTTTTTACGCAACAACTGATATTACTCTTCCATTAATACACAATCACTAACATTACTCTATTAGTACTTTTATATTATATATATATACACATTATACAAAATCTATTTTTATATTCTATATATATACATTATACAATTGTAGGCCCTGTATTTATTTTTTTTTTTCCTTTTTCTAATTGTTAATACATTTATTGGTTGTGGTTTGTTTTCAGATTTTTTGTTAATATATATGTATATATAAAATCTATTTTTATATTCTATATATATACATTATACAATTGTACGCTTATCTTGCCCTGTATATATATATATATTTTACTTTTTTGATTATGTCTTTTATTGTGATTGAAAGTTAGATTTTGATAGATGGATGAAAAAATAAATTAAAAAAATTTCCCAAAAAAAAAAAATTTTGTAACAAATGTTTTACTAAACATTGCTTTTTGTTTTTTGTTATTGAAATTGTGGCAACAGCAAAAGTTACTAAATGTTATTTTTGCCTTTTGTTTTTACTTTGAAAAACAAAATTATGTTTCTGTTTCTTTGCGACTGCAAAAACATAAAACGAAAACGTTACTAAAAGCACCCTAAGTTATTTAATTGGCCCAAGCTTGGTCCAGTTAAATTATTTAATTAGTCCAGCCCAGATGGTTAAATAAAAAGATATTTGGAATAATTATTTTTAAGGATAATTATCATAATCTAACCGGTCTAGCCCAGTTATGATTTTATCCTTATCAGGAGATGACACGTGTCATCATCCTATGGATCCAAGAAGCCTATAAATAGATGCCTGGAGGAAGAAGGAAGGGACACAAAATTCAGAATTCGGAATTTAGAAATACAGAATTTCAGAGAGAAATACAGAAACTCTGCCAATACTCATCCCAACATCCAAACCCAAAGGCGAAGAACACCAAGCACATCTAATCGTGCCGTTCTTCATCAAATTTTACTGTAATCAACAACAGGCACATCAAATCGTGCCGTTCTTCATCCAAATTCCACGGTGATTCAATATCAAGCTTGTGCAGCCCTTGGATCCAACCAACAAAAAGGAGATCGAATCAGAGTACTTTATTCTTTGTAAAGAATATTACAGAGGGTTGTACTCCAATTTTTTCAAATTAATAAAATATTATTTTTGCTCCCTATTTTGTTCTTATTTGCAGATTACAAAATTTGTGTGTATAAATTTCTACACACAAAATTTGTGTGTCCCTTCGGGCGTGTCAGAAATTTGTACACACAAATTTTGTAGTCTGCAAATAAGAACAAAATATGGAGCAAAAATAATATTTTATTAATTTAAAAAAATTGGAGTACAATTCTCTGTAATATTCTTTACAAAGAATAAGGTCCTCTGATTCGATCTCCTTTTTTTTTTTTTTGTTGGTTGGATCTAAGGGCTGCACGAGCTTGATCTTGAATCACCGTGCAATTTGGATGAAGAACGGCACGATTTGACGTGCTTGTTGTTGATCACCGTGAAATTTGATGAAGGACGATACGATTTGATGTGCTTGATGTTCTTCGCTTTTGGGTTTGGATGTTGGGGATGAGTATTGGCAGAGTTTCTGTATTTCTCTCTGGAATTCTAAATTCTGAATTTTGTGACCCTTCCTTCTTCCTCTAGGCCTCTATTTATAGGTTTCTTGGATCGATAGGATGATGACACGTGTCCTCTCTTGATAAGGATAAAACTATAACTGGTCGGGCCGGTTAGATTATGATAATTATCCTTAAAAATAATTATTCCAAATA